ATTTTTCGAGCAAACACGATCGTATTGATTTCACAATGTTATTATTATTTCTTTGTTATTTTGTATTGTTACTTCAAGAGCTACGTTCGTTTTGAACGCCACAGAGGCACACAAGTTATCTGTACGCATTAGCTTAGTAATAGTCATGAGAGACATGCGACTATCCTTGAAAAATGCTACAATAATATTTCAAAAATCACTGCCGGACTAGACTATATTCTCTAAAGTGACTCATACTCTTTTGCGGTTCAACATTTATCACTGTCCTGTCGCGTTACGAGTACAGTAGTTTTTCACAAGAACTCGAAAAAAAAAAAAAATTGTCGCATCGGAGACCGCAACAATGAAAGCATTTACTTTGTTTGATTTTCCGACACCCAAAAAACCACGTCGCGTCAGGAAATGAAGGATTTTCAATTTCACATGTAAAAACAATGAAAATCGAATCTCGTTGTGTAAAAAAGTTCACTCTCTTGACAAAACTTTACTAAAAAGTCAATAGCGAATCCCTCATTCATAAAGCCCACGGGGAGAAAAACGAGGTCGCGATGCCCATCTCTCTCGTCGTCGTATAATCGCAGGGTACACAAGTCATGATTATACTTGGGCGGTCTTTACTTAGGTTGTTGGAAGAATCGGATCTCGATGCCAAGCGCTCGCGTCCGCTTGTGCGGAACGAATTGAAGGCTTTGTTTGTCTTATTTTTGTCGTGTCTTCGACAAAAGACAGATAATTCATGGTTGACGATTGTTTGTTCTAATTAACAGTTAAACGTGAAAATTGCAGGCACGAGAATGAAATAATTTTCTTATTCCAAGTCAACTCGTAATTTGTCGTAGATCGAAGGAAAAATAGCTTGTTCCGCGGCGAGAATAAGCGAACACTTCAAAAATTGAACGAGCCCTAGATCTTCAATATTGCGCCAAGTCTGGAAAGTCAAGGAGAGAGAATTTGCGTGTGCGCAAAGCGAAATTGAAAAAAATATATTCAACGTTGCTCTTCAAACGTCAGCTTTTGAAATATTCATTTGAGAAACCAAGTAGCAAGGAAGTTAAAAATAATTGTGTAATAAATTTTACCTTTAATCTAAGTAACATATGTACTTATAAGCTACTTCAATTGGAATTCAATCGAATTAAGGCGGTATCTCTTGCGCGAGCAAAACAAAGTTTCAGGATTGTCCAGGCGTAAAAAAAGAAAATCAATACACTCAGTGCTAGCCTTCCGTTCGTCAGGCTCTTATATTACCGTTTCCAACTGAAATACAAATTGCATTCGTTTGCTTGGTGGAGAATTAAGTGCCTCCGGTGGCACTCACTCTCCTCGTTTGCCTTAAAATTAGTTTTATATGCGCAGGCAGCCTCTGTCAAACTAAATCTCCGTCACTGCAACAAATAGCTGCCAGATAAATTAGTCACGGCCGACTTCAGTGCCGAGATGGGTTATTTATTTAATTGTTATTTAGCGCGTTTTATTAGCATTCGCAATCAATTAGCCGACCAGCCGTGAATTACTTGGAAAAATGTCAAACGGCCTAAAATAATTTCGCAACGTACATTCTCTCTAAGATTGAAACCCTCATCGATGTTCCTAAAATAAAACCCAATTATTTGGAATGAACATCCATCCCTTGAAGGTGTGGCCGCCACTAGCGAAGCGTTAAATGGCGACCAGTGCAGAGGCAGAGCCATAAACTTTTAACCCTGCCTCGCGTGCTTCTGGTTTGCCACGACGGCGACGCGTAAAGCCTTGGAAAGTGCAAGCAAACGCAAGTGCGAGCTCGAATTACGTGCGCTTACTTGTCGCACAATGGAATTGTTTAAAGGCTTGCGGGATTTGAAGCAGGTTTCGAGAGCGCCACAATTTAGAGACTTTCGTACACGTGACTGCGAAACCGCTCGACTGCACACGAGCGGCTTGCGCGAATTGCAAAGTTTTTAATTGGCTGAGCAAACATAACTTTTATATCACTTTTTCAGCTACCGTATAGGTCGATAGTTGACACTGTGTGTACATCTCCGAGATATATGCCTGGATCGCATATTGTCTTTCGCGGACATGCAATTTGCTCGGCTTTATTTTCAATAAGACAGGGCGTATATGCCGTCGTAATCGATCCACCAATAAATACCTTATTAGACAATCAACATCACCGACGATTTACTTCTGGGCGCGAGGGTATTTTCTATCTTGTCTCGCCACTCCGACCTCGCATCCTTTGTAATACGAGAAGTAGACATATAATACCAAAAATCCTTTCCTCGACATCCGTCCCATTTCCATCAACGGCTTTTAGTCGAGATTTCATTTTCCTCGCGACACGAAAGCGAAAAATGCATGTATCTTGAACGCGAAAAGAGCCAGTTCTTGAAATTTCACGTTAGAGCTTGCCTTTCGGCGCGCGAGATTGCCTTATTTCGCGGCGCGCGCGGGTAAGATTAGAAAGGAAGAGGAAAAATCTTTCGTGTGATTTTTTTTCCTATCGTGCATTGTTGTGTTTTACGAGAACGCTTACACTGCCGTTTTTCTTAATTTGCTAAGGAATACTGTAGAGATGTTATCCGTGGCTATCGGCTAACGGAGAAAACTGAACATTCGAATACCAACGCAGGAAATGGAGAATTAAGTGATTTATTTTTTTCCGCGAATGTGATTCGCAGTGTATATAGAAAGTTTGCAATTGCGAATGTGAAAAAAAAAACAAAAGTAGATTTCGTTTCAACGCAAGCAGCTCGCTCTGAGGAAAACAAACTCATTAAACATTATGAAGCGAATACACGTTAGATTTAGATAATACATTTTTTTGCTAAAGGAAATGAATATCTCAGGTGTACGATGTTTGTGTATATTTCCATATGCGATATAAAGCTCGTCAGTCGTAGGACAAATATTGATAAGAAAGTGCGTTTCTGCCGGTCCAAATATTTGTTGTTATCAAGATAAATTAGTTTATGCTAACATTACCATATCTGCTCGCGATATCATCAAGAATCATGTCCAAACTATCGTCGCATATTGGAAAATCCCATTTAACACAATGTTGTTTAAATCTCAAAAACTTTACTTTTCTTTGCTATCCCAATGATGACAAATACCCGACTCTCGTTCCAATTTCCATCCAGAAGATAACGATTCTCGCTTTATGCGGTATCAGCATCTGGCTAACGTCACAACATCTTTCAACCACAAAACCCCTTGTTCAGAATGGAGTTAACTTATACAAAAGTGAGTGCATGCTTTATATCGTATACACTCTATTTCAATTATGTATACACCTTTTGCAGGAATTTTCTAACACAGAAATGCAACGGGCTTTTGTTTTTCTTGATTACGGTGACGCCAGAAGATAAATGAAAAGTCGACGCTTTTATTGATCGAGGCTGTCTCCTATTCTTTGGAATTGTAATCACTGGCGCGTCTATATTAAGATTTACTTTAGTTTAGTACTAATTAAAATGAACAAATAGTGAATGAAATATTCAATGAAAAGCCAATTTTGAATTATAGTACTCGATGATCGCGTCGAAATTAGAAATTAATCGATGGAAATCAGTGAAATACATTGGATACTGAGTTTCCTATTTCACGGTAGTATTTTTACAATTCCTAATTAGATTAAGAGCGAAAGCTCATTGCCTAAGTGAAAAGACTGTTCGCTCGAAAACGAGCTGAAATTGCTATTCCGTTATGCATTGTCCGCAAGATTGAAAATAAGACTGAACGGTGTTTCAATTATCAATTCGTGGATTAATTTCGCATAGCATCGTTGTTTACAAGTTACAAGACGAAGTAGAAAAAACATTGATGCATTACCTCTTTTCTTTTGAAAGTAGTTGAGCGTGGAGCTAAGATAAATAGAAACAGTTATTGCAGTATTTCATTTCACTATCATCGGCAATCAAAACTTTTGAAGAATCGCTTTTGACGATATGCTCTGCAGTTTGTTACTAATTATTTTTTTATACAATGAAAAGGTTACAAGCAGTTTTTTTGATCGGGCAATCGAATTGCGAATAATGTACATTACAAGTTTTGTCGGTTCGATTTGTAGATTCCAATTGACGCGATTTAGCTACAAAATGTAAAATTTGGGAAATAAAAATTGTATTTAATTAAACGTTTTTATCCACTATTTTTTGGATCTACTCGTACGTTGAAAGTTTTAATAATTATTCATCATTGGCACTAAAATAGTCTTGTTTAAAATTTGAAATCGCGCAGTAAACACAGAATAAAGCCCACCTTCTTGCATACAATTACCGCAGTCGTGCGGAAAAGTAAGTTCGTTTTACTAATCAGTCAAACGGAGCAGCCGGAGACAGAGAACGACCAAATGAGTCGTTGAAAGAAAAAGAAAGCAAAAGTTTTGCTCGGTACTGTTGTATCGTTCTATTCAGTGAGAGGATAACAATGACGTGGCAGGCATGAATTTTAACGAAGATTCGCTCCAATTTTTCATGGCAATATTGTTAAGCTTTCAAGTACAATCATTTTTATTTTGCAACAAGTTAATATGCCGACAATGATTAGTTCATTATTTTAACAAGTTAAGTTTCAATATACGTACTGTTAGTACGTGGTATAAGTTTTCCACAAAATAATCCGTTAGTTGCAATTAGCCATCCTCATTAGCACAGACTACATTGCAGCCTTGGGAAAAAGTAAATTATGTAAGAGAATTAGTAGAATAATTTTCAGAATAATTCCTTCAGGTAAACTGAAATATTCAAAGTCTAATTTGACCCTAGTACGGCTATTTGATATTGTTAGGTATGTGCAAATATTGAGTTTTATTAGCTTCGCTTTACTTTGAATTTAATTTAAACCAGATAATATCTATTAGAAATTGATGTATAAAAACTTGTTTCGTAAAATATATAACATGTAAATGCCGAACAAAACCTTCATTGCTGTAATTAATTAACTTAGCGAAACTATGTGTTTTATACAGTTCCAGTCTCTGCTCTTGGAAATTAATTCGAATCTCTGTGTGCTTGCAGAGACAGCAATGGCTCGCAGGACCGTCGTAAACTGTTAAAGCGAACGCGTAGCTTGGCAGTGATAAGCGAGGACGACTGTCGTACGGCAAACGGCAGCCGTGGTAGCAGCTGCGAGGCGCTTCGTTTAGGTTCATCTTGTGGCTCGTCCAACTTGCCTTTCGACTCATCCTCGTTGCAACATCGCAGACATCAACTAATACCTCGAGCTAAGCTCATTGATCGCAATTCTCTCAAAGACAGGTACGTTGAAGTTTCAGACTATGAATTGTAGAGAGACACTCATTAAGCTTAATGAAATGTTAGCGGGAGTTACGGTTATTCGCGAGCGAGATTGATTTAATGCATTTTTTTTCGAATGCCAATTACGTGAAAGTGTGAGTAACGAAACAAAGTTTTGCAATATTAATCTCGCTCGATATTGAGTGTTATGATTGCAAACTATAAAGTATGGAAGCTTTTCATTGGTAGTGCTTATTCGTGGGCTCAAAGAAATTTTCTGCTGCTAATGAGATAATCATCATATATTCAAATGTCTATAAGGTAGAGAAAGTTCACTTTTTTTACAGTCTAACAATCATCTAGGTTAAAACAAGGAAATTGAGATGTCGAGTTCCCCGTCTATAAAAACTGATTTCCGCATTGTATAAAAAACAATTTTTATACAATTATTATAAAATTTTTATACAATTTTTATACAATTTTTATAAAATTAGAAACAGTTTTTCTAATATTTTTATCAAAGTAGACGCATCGTGTGCACCTTGCATATTTATCTTCAAATTATTTATTTTTTGTTCAAAATCAGAATTTGAATTTAATATTACATCGAAACAAAATTTGTGAAAATTGATCAATTTAAATAGCTTTAAAACACAATAACAGCTTTAATAAATTATGAATTTTTAAATAACAAAACGTTGAGTAGTTAAAACAGTTTTTATTATCATAATAGCATTATTCGAGTTTAGTCCTTTTAGTGTTCAAGTTGATTTAAAAATATTGCTCTCCACTTAAAGAATCTCGCCCAAACTCAATTACATGCATTCATCAAAATTAGATGCACAAATTTGCGGAATTTACACAGCCTTCTCCATAATCACACGACAATGTCATTCACTCTAAAGCACGTATTCTGCTTGCTATAGACTATCGAAGAGCCAACAGCATCTGTACGACTGTTACGAGCGTCTGAACGACACGACATCAGCTCCAGCACCACCACCGTCACGATCACGTCAGAGCCGATCAGTTTGTGGCCTCTACAATTCTCTACCACCACCGCACACCAATTTAGCTGAGTCTCATCTGCCTTATACGCGTGTTGCCGCGACCTACAGACCTTCCACTGCTGCTGAACCACCCGATAGACTTAATATTCTCAAGTGGCCTGAATCACCAAGGCGTTATCGTAGCGTGCAGGATCTCAATAGCGTTAGTGGACTGGTCGATATTGTCGAGGATCACTATTGGCCTATTGAGGAAAATCGTAGCGTCGACTGCATTTATACGCAAGTAAGAATCCTGATAATTTTATTAAATCTAAGAATAAGCAGATTGTTAATTATACAATCATATACTATGATACAACATAATTTTGTATATTATTATTATTATTTGACATTTTGGACTATTGTTAATTAAATAATCTTTTCTTGCAGGTAAAACGTAAACGTAAAGAGCATCGCAGCCTCGATAGTATATTATTCGAGGACGATAGTGATGAGCTTGAATATTTCGACATTTTGAATCTACTTCCATTATCGAATGTACGACTGGAGATTAATGAATCAGATGCGACAAATAGTCATTCGATCCTAGAAAGAAACTGTAAGCAGCAGCCTCTACCGAATCGACCGCCGTCTGCTAAATTAAATCCTGCCGTTGTATCCGTATCAACAAAGAAAAACTTTCTCGAATCTGAGATATGCCCCAAGCATTACCCTACCGCTCGAATTACGGAAATCGTCGAAGAGAATAAAGAACCCGGAATTACTTCTTTTCCGGAGATCGCGCGAGAGAAGAGTCGTTTAGAGAATACTTTTTATGCTTACGACGGGATCTCTGATTCATCGAAAATCACGACGAAAGCAGTCGTCGAATCTTGTCATTCGGAGATAAAGGATCTAGAGAAATATTGTGAGTTAAATCAAGATAAAAAAGAGCCTTGTTCAGTAGAGTATCTAAATAAACCGAAAGTCGAAGAAACCGAGGATACAAAGTCATTGTGGATATCTGATAACGAAGAAGTTGAAGAAATGTCGCGAAGACCGCAGATACTCAAAGTCATTGACAATGACATCACCAAATCAAAGAAAAAGTCTATTAGCAAAGAAGTAAAATCTGCCGACGATGAAATAACTCAGGCTGAAAACATGTCAGAAAATACAACGAACTTCAGAACATTAAACAAACCAGATATCATAAACGATCACATACACGAGTCTCCAAGTAACTTTGAGCCGGAAAAGGAAAAAGACCGGATAAGTGTAGAGAATGCAAGAAGTTTCTTTGAAAAGAAAAATGCAGATACAGAAACAAATCGTGGGGAAGGTAGACTTGAGAGGATTGTGAAAGAAACTTCGAATATTCTTGGGAAAGCTTGTCATGCTGTGAAAGGTAGCTTGGGTTTCGAAGCGAGATCCGATAGTTCTGATCTAGGACTAGGATCAGAGATTGGCAGTGATGTAAGAAGATTATCCGTCGATGAGAACATAAATACAAATGAAGAACGAAACAAAGAGCAAAAACATAATAAACAAGATAAGATACATCAAAACTTTGATGAAATTGATGACAACAATCAAAAGAATAGTACAAATTTGATTAGATCTCGGAGTTGTATTGATTCTATGGAATGTCAAAATTCTGATGAACCGGAGTTCGATCATGTACGTTATAAGATTGTTAAGTCAAACATGTTCGGTAAAAGCATGTACAATACTGCTAAAAAGGATGTTCCCTACGATGGGTTGATGCAGTACCTACGCGAATATTCCTTTCAGGACTTACTAAATGATAATAATGTTGTTATCATCGAACCAGTAAGAGCAGAAATTGAACGCAAACCTTCATTCAATAATTCGACGTTGAAGACTGCTCCAAGCTTCAATGTTGAGAAAATAAAAATCTCAGATTTGAAGAATTCCGAAGAGGCAGGTGACAGTAAAATAAAAAATCACTTTTCGAAAGCACCACGGCAATCTTCACTTCGCAAACATTTCTTTTACCAACCGATACAAGTTAATAGAGAGCTTAATGATGAGGAACTGCCAGATCCGGATACTGTTAGGAATGTACGAAGAATGTTTGAAGAAACCTCGAATGGTAAATTGAATAGAGACAACGGCACGAGGAAATGCGTCAGTATGAAGGATCTGAGAACCATAGAAGGCCAGTCAGAAGCACCAAGGTACTTATTTTCATCCTAATTTTCATCTGACCGATTCCAGTCTCCGACGCATTATTACTTAACATAATCATTCATTTATCATTCATTCATATCTAAACGTAACTTAAAATTTTTGATGTGGCAACTAGGTCAAGATGTTCCAGTCGAGCAAAGGATCTGAAGATCATGTTTGAGAATCTGGAAAAATCCTCCAACCCCTCTCTAACCAAAGACGGCACAAATAGTTCGAAGCACGAGTCTAAAACTAAGCTGATCGCACAATCTTTCGAAGCAAGAAGTGGATTCACATCGCCAAGTAATTCCAATTCTTCTAAAACTAGAGTCAACAGATATTATCAGCGTCAACTGCCTAATTGGGATGCTGGTAGCGTTAGTTCAGGAGTCTCAAGCGATTATCCAGACACCGATGCTGGCAGCGCGCCACACTGTACATCTTCTGAAGATGAGGATTTGTATTATAACGACGATGACGGCGTTGATGAGCGATATGAAGGTCACTATGTATCGCAGGATGTACTAAAAAAAATTAGGGAATATGGGACTTCCGTTACTTATTATGGCGGCAAAGTTGTCAATACCTCCAATGGACCACTGATATGTCCAATGGTATGCAAAAATTCCAAAAAGAAAACGTTGGATTATATTAAATTTCGTTTAGTGAAAAGCAATTCTTGCGATAGCAGATTAGAACTTACTGGTCGAGTGATAGAACATCGAAACAAGTTTGAGAACGCTGGTCAACGAGGCAAGCTTTTCGATTTGAGACAGTTTACGATTGATGAAACACCAAGTATTGAAATAACTTCGATCGAGACGATAAACAATACAGAAAAAGACGAGGACAAGGTTGAAGTCAAAGACGAAAAACGAGAGCCACCGGTAGTCATTGGACTAGAGCCCAAAAAGGATGAGAATAAAAGTTTCAAGGTAGAATTTAAGTTAGGCAAGTTAGAAGATGGCACTTCGATTAATAGGTTTACTCCAAGTGCTTTAACCCGATGGCAAATAAATGAAAACACCTGGAAAAGGACCTCGGACTTTGGAAAGATGGAGTTCGAAGAGTTTGAGGTTCTTGAAGATAGTCTTAATGGAGTGGATAATTAAACTTTTTTTCTCTGAAGACATTCACCATATACCTGTGGAATGCAACGAGCAAACTTAGCTTTAATGAATCTAACTGTCGATGCAACGAAGAGTTCTTTTTGAAACTCTTGTTTGCGTTGCACAACTTATTATCGATCTTTTAACGTCTTAACACGCTTGTATACGCGAAATATATAAGTATTATACGCAATTTATAGAAGTTTTCCTTTTATTAACTTATATTTTTTTGTTTGCATAAAATGTAAAAATATCAAATTTTCATTTAAAGTTAGAAAGATAGCTTTAGAAGTTACATATTTATAATATTGAGAAAAAATCATTTTATAATATTATGTTGTTCAATAAAAACTTTAAAAGAAATATGAGATTTTTTGATAATTGTTAAGAAAAGCTTATTTTTATTCAAATTTTGCTGCAATGAGATCGAAATCTATTCTTAATCTTATAGTTAGGTGCATCTACTATATATTCAAAGACTTTCAAGATGTCCATTCTTCACGGTTAATTTATATTTCACTCAAGTACTAATAAGATCTTAAATTATTTCAACCTAAAATCTAAAGACACTGTATTTTAGTTTCAAGGATAATTAATTAAAATGCAAGCTATGACATATTTTCCATGGATCGGAAAATTCTCAATTCATAAATAAGAAGTAAATTATTAATACCATAGACTAACAAAATCAAACTTTTCTAAATAAAACGAAAAATGTTAGTATTTTAGATATTCAGTTTTTCTACCTTATCGTTATTATAAATTATGTTATACATTACCTGGACTAACTGATGCACTACTTTTATCTTTCGATTTCTTCGTATCTTTTGTGCCTTTGATATCCTTCCCTTCTTTAGTGTGCTTGGGTTCCCTCGTATCTTTCGCTACGCCCAACTCTCTTGACTCCTTAAAGTGTTGCTGCTCCTTCGTCAACATGGGGCTTAAGCTTGGAGTAAATGTTCTGGTACCTGTCGACAAGGTTTTCCTTGAAATGTTCCACCATCTTCGACACCTCGTTTCCTAAAATACAAATCGTTATCAAGCCTGATTCTGTAATTATATATAATTTTTTATTTTTTTTATCATGTAGATTATATGTATACGCAAATTATAAAAAAAATTCACAAATTAAATTGTAATTATATATATCAAACGTAATTAAATTATGTTTTTTTGTTTAGACACTAGAATTTTATGAAAAATATAAAAATATATTTTAGTATAAGAGAAAAATATTTAGCTTCATCTTCAACAAACTGATCTACGATCTCGTATCATGCAAAAGTTTAGATAATACTTGATCTGTACTGTTCTAGGAAACTGTCAGTTATTTAAACTTTTGGAGAAAAGTGAAAGAAACTAACATGAATGTAACGCAGACATTCATTATATCGAATGGTCTACTCCATGTCATTATCTCAGAAGATTGCAACCAAGCAGTAAAGCCTAATTGTTCACTTTTGCCAAGATAGTTTGGCAGCACGCGAACGTATTAGATGTACGATAAGATAGCTTTCTTTCTTAAGAAAAAAAATTAAGAATCTCTGCTGATCATGAAATAAATTTCATCAAGATTTATGGTAAAAGACTAAGCTGCATTATACATTTCGATCATTGTAATCGCATTTCGTTTCAATCTGTTGAATCTATCCCTTTCTCTTTCATCAAAATGGTCGGAAATCAAATACTACGAAAGATAAAAATAAAAGTAATCACGGTAACCTATTTTACAGTTAAGGCACTGGTATTGTAGTATATATCTTTATCTCGGATTTTAGCTTTCGAAAAAGTAAAGAAAGTGGAAAAGAATCGTCGGGATTTTATATGTCTATTTGTCCAAGCATGTTACCGGATAGCAAATTTTTTTATACACTTCTTTTCAATTTAGTTTACACATTCAAAAAATGTAAATAGAATATGCCATTATTCAGAAGACACGAAAAGACTTTTTTCAACATATTTCTAAGCTCGTAATTTTCTCTTAAAAAAAAATGAATAAAAAAAAAAGATTATTCGGAGTGCAAATGAGTGTCCTTTTTTTTTTTTTGTAATCCGAAAAGCTTCGTTTTCTTCTTCAATATAGAATTTTCCATACATACACAAACTCGTTTATCTCTATAGCGCACGTGGCATAACTTATCGATTTTTCGGGTCATACACAAATACAAACGCGCGAGTAGTAGTATAGTAAAAGAGAGAGCAAGTGAGAGAAAAAGCTTCAATCTACGATTTCGTGAAAAGGAAAAGACCGCACTGCGACTTTTTCACGCGACTTATGTTATACGATTCTATAGTAGTTCTGGCTTTGATTTCTATTCTCAGCAATTAAACTCGATGGCTTTAACTTTATCTGTAGATTAGTGAATTAAATTTTGCAGGTAATTTAACCGTTAACGTATGCAAACTTTTTCAAAGAAGATAAATTTATATTCGATGACATCATTTCTACCGGTGAGTTTATTTAAACCGCCAAAGGGAACAAGATAGATAACCACAACCAAATGTTTTGTGATTAGATTTAGAACTCTCCACAGTGTAATTTTTTGCGGTGAGATATCACATCGGATAAGAACTTGGCAATCTGCCAAGAGATTAGACAGTGTTAGTAGCAGCAGAATCGTACGGGAGAAATCATGAATCAATCATGAGTATGAGAAAAATTGTTGAGTTTAAGTTGAAAAGATATATCTTAATACTACATTACGTAAAAATTAATTATAGAACAAGGAATTTAAGCTGATAACCAGTCCTGAAGATGTTTCTTCAGCTTTGATTATATTTTATCAAAATTAAGAATAACAAATGCTTACTGTTATCTTTATTCATCAAAAAACTAAGCAATTTTGAAGTATCAATAACATTTCTTTGAAGTATATAACAAACAATTTTTCAGGTAATGTTAGAGAAAACGAAGTCTTACAAGACTTTTTTTCTAAAGTTAAAATTGAAGCTAAGTAGGATTTTAAACATCGTAATTTCCGCGGTCTACACTACCAAGTCTAAGTCTTTGTGATGGATCGACAAGTGTCAAAGTTGCGAAGTTGTTGAGAAATTTGCATACTGGAAAACGCTCATGCATATTAAGCTTCCAATTAATGGCGTTTCAAGTGAAAGATTCGAGGTTTCATTTTACAAAATCAGGCCAATAGATTAGTTTTTTAAATTCTATTTGTTGCGGAAGATCCTTGAAATGTATTTAAATGCAGTTAGACTGAATCGTCTGTGGATTTATTGTACTGCACTTTCAATCTTGATATTTCTGGGATAGAGAAGGATTACTAATGGAAATAACTTTCTTTGTAAAAAGAAAAGTTTTTCATGAATAGTTTTTATCTTCATTGATATTGTTTTCTTCTAAAGCACTCAATATCTTTTTTACAAAACAATTTTTAATGTACAAAGGGATTTTAAAGTAGAGATGAATGATATAGGAAAAGTGAATTATTTTATTGTATCTACCATGATAAATATATATTTCTTAAGAATAGAACTTCTAACTGAATGAATAATACGGCATCTCTTTCTTTATCATTATATAACGTCGAGCCCTTTATATTGCGAAAGACGTCATTGATCGTTAAAGATGAAGGATATGCCGGGAGGAAGAGTTACTTATTTTAAGATAATACTTTCATTTCATAAACGAAAATGGGCTTTTTGTGTTAGGTAATACTTTCTTTTTTTATATGACTGCAAGGAAAATTTCATGTAAGAGTTTGAATGCACGGAGCTACAATGCTCGTAGGCGTGAATTATTTCAACTCGCGTTAAAAAATTGTTTGTGCATTTTTGATTGACTGTACTTTATTTGTGAAATATTTCTAAAGAAAGTATCTTTAATTATATTTTAACATTCACACAACCAGTCTCTCACTACTGCGCAACCCGATTTATATCGCTAATCTCATCGGAGTTTACAGTCAACAGACTTAATCTGATTATTATTGAACCTTTATTTCCATCACTATCTGATTGTGATTATCGGTACGTCGTAATTATTCACACTCGAAGCATCGAACTAATTTTCATGTCTAAATAAATAGACAAAGATTCGTTTGAGTTTCGTATATGTATGCTCATATTATATCGCGTGCTTGAGGCATTGTATGCAACCAAATAACCCCAGACACACTTCCATGCCATGTTATGCATAGCATGCATCAATTAATCGTAATAATGGAGGCAGGGTAGATATTGTGGTTGCTCGATTGAACCATACACATATGCTGCTATTGCTCGATGAATTTGAATTGAACCTACGCCATTGACTTAAGCTTCGTGATGCCAATGAGGCTTTGAAGGTGATTGTCGAGTTCTTTTTTCTATGGGCTGAAACTGATTTTATTGCATACACAGGTGTGCTGATGTTTATACGTTCTTTCGACTCGTCCAACTATACGCAAAGCAGGGCTTTCGAAAAATTGTGAGAATTTTCCGGGAAGGAGAGAATGGAGGCTGTAAATATTGTTTACGCCCGGGGTCTACCGAATTCCAAAATTCCGGTAACTGAATTTTGCTTTCTTTTTTGAGTAGAATATCTTATTTACGCGAGATATATAGCATATTGACTTTCAAATAAGCTAATTTGAATATAAATGAATTCATTGTAAAATATTTGTCATAAATTTGTAATTTTTAAGTATTTATAAAAAAATTATAAAGTTTTTCCGAGAAAAAAACCATTGTAACATTTGACAAAAACATCTTAAGAATTTACAACTGTATTTACTTCAATCTGAATAAATTCCAACTAAAATATAGAAAACGTTAATTAAAATTTGTTTCTAACAGAATACTGTGATTATTACTCTCTCTCTCTCTCCCTCTCTCTCTCTCCCTCTCTCTCTCTCCCTCTCTCTCTCCCTCTCTCTCTCTCTCCCTCTCTCTCTCTCCCTCTCTCTCTCTCTCCCTCTCTCTCTCTCGCTCTCTTCATATTCAGTAAGAAATTTATATGCTTGCGTTATTCATATTTTTCAGTTGTGAACGTGAGACTGGAATACGTTTGTTTATGAATATTTCAGTATACGCTGTCGGAAGATGCTTCTGTAAATGTTCGCCCTACCTTTATACGATGAGTTTTTTCGTGACATGCACGTAATGCTGCCTTAGCAGTTTTTTTTTCCTATCCTTATTTTCAATGGAAACCTTCTTTCACGACTTTCTTTTTGGTTTAACTTTATATCATATCGCTAAATAATACAGAATACTTATTTATTTAAAATTTCTGCCCTTTGAATTCCTACAAAAATGTGGAACAATTTTTTACGATTAATTATTCGATGTATTCTGGTGTTCTCATTTTTTTCCAGACTGTTGCCACGTACAAATAGTTATTTCCTGGCTCTCGCGAGACAAGTGTACTTTTGGCAAAACCAAATTAGCCACGGTAGAGAGCTTGCTACTTCGTTTTTCTTTCTTTCATAATTTCGTGAACGTGCATTGTCGACTTTTAATTGTCGTGAAAATTACCCTTATAATAGCTTTACCTTTTTGAATCTTTCAGTGTATTTTGGAGCTTATTTGACATAGCAGTGGCTAGATTGCAAGGTTGCGTCGAATGCTAATGTGTCTAAAATTTCAAACAATGATCAACTATCTTGATAAATCTTAATAAATTTCCCTGTTTGGAAATACCTCATACTTACCAAAAATACTCTAATACTGAGGTTCTAGATAAGAGATTGAAAAAAACAATTTACTTTCGGATAAGCTTTTCCCTGTAAGTTTTATTGTCCTCTTGAAAATCGAACGGCGTACCGCTGTCTTCTCTATAGAAGCACAGTAAAATAGAGGCGCGAAGGGTAAATTGATTGCTCGCGGCTGCGATGGAATTTTCTGTTAGAATTTTTTGATTTTTCGTGACAACCTTCTAACAAAAAACGATAAAACCTTTGAACTAGTTATTTAAAAAAGTTTTTGATTTTTGAACTCTTCTACGTTCACTCAGGAGTAAGGTGGTAGTAATAAAAATCAGCACAAAGAAACTTTTAAGAAAAAATGACTGTAAGTTACGTGCTCTA